TCAACACTCAAGGACACCACCGCACAATAAATTTACGAACAAGACAATAGAAAACAAACAAGAAATACCATATACAAAATACTAAAACAGAGTAAAGTGGGACTGGACAAATAAAATTTAGGTGAGGTATGCAATCTTAAACAAGTGAGACTTGAGTCTGCATTTAAAAAGAGATAGAGAAGTCAGAATTTCTGATATCAGGTGGTAGTGAATTCCAGAGCCAGGGAGCAGAGCAACAGAATGCCCTGCTTCCCATGGTGGAGAGGCGAGCAAAAGGAACAGTACGGTAAAGAAAAGAGGCAGATCTAAGAGAACGGGAGGGAATATGGATGTGGAGGAGGTCAGACAGATATGAAGGGGCAAGATTATGGATGGCCTTAAAAGTGAACAAGAGAATCTTAAAGTCAATGCGAAACTTAACCGGAAGCCAGTGAAGCTGCTGCAGAACATGGGTGATGTGGAGAAAGGAGGGGATTCTGGTGACGATACAGGCTGCTGAGTTTTGAAGCAATTGAAGCTTATAAAGGGATTTGTGAGGAAGACCAGAGAGAAGGGAATAACAATAATCAATACGGGAAATAACAAGACTGTAAACAAGAATAGCAGTAGTATGAGGAGTGAGGGAGGGACGAAGGCGGTTAATATTACGTAGATGAAAATAGGCAGACCGGGTGATATTATTAATATGTGATTGAGTGTGTGTACTGTCCAGGAGGATACCCAAACTCTTAAACTGAGGAGAAGGGGGAAAAGAGGAATTATCAATTGAAAGAGAAAAGCTGTCAATTATGGATAAAATTGATTTAGTGCCAATTAGAAGAAATTCCGTGTTTGTCACTGTTTAGTTTGAGGAAATTCGAGGAAAACCAGGATTTAAGTTCATTGAAACAGTCAGTGAGCGAGGAAGGAGGGAGAGTGGAATAAGGTTTGCTGGAGAAGTAGAGTTGGGTGTCATCCGCGTAACAGTGAAATAGGATGTCGTATTTACGAAAGATATTGTCAAGAGGAAGAAGGTAAATGATGAAAAGATGGGGTCCCAAGACAGAGCCCTGAGGCACACCAGTGTTAACAGGGGAAGGTTGGGAAATAAGTGATTGTAACTGAACAAACTGAGTGCGCCCTGAAAGATAAGATTTAAACCAATCTAAAGGGGTGTGAGTGATGCCAATAGAGATTAGTCTATTGACAAGGATAGTGCAAAAACTGGTGTCAAAGGTCGCGGCAGTGATGCTTAAGATATTGTTGGTCATTCAGGGTTTCTGTAAAAAAATAGATAATAGTAATTATTATTAAAAGATACTACTATACTAACAATAGACAACACGTTAAGGATTGATGAGCTGCTGGGTTAATGAATATTAATCACACGTTCGCTCGAACTGATTTGCTGAAATCAAAACAGGGACAGTAATAGATGAGCGCCAGCCAATGAGTTTGCAGTTTGCGCATTAGTTCCACCCACTATTGGAGAAACCTGCATATTTTCTGCTTGTTCTTAAGCTAACTTTTTAATAGTTAATAAGGTCAGGGCTGTAAGGTGCTACGGAAAAAATGGTCTGTGCGATGAATAAATTTACCACAGTAGCACGCGTGTGATACAGTTTTGCTATGTATGTGAGCCTGTTTACTAACCTGTCGTCCAACAAAGAGAACATGTTTTTTTAGTCCAAATTAACTTAACACCAGATGAGTATTTGAAATAACTTACTTTTGGAACTTCCTTTACTGTTTTATAGTATTCTATATAGTGATAAATGCTATGTCATTAACCATTGCGTTATAAATATACTTTATCCTTATAAAAATACCCAAGATGGCTTGAACAACACAGATAGATTGGAGGAACTGATTAGAGTAAGTATGGAGAGACCTAGTTAAGATGATATTGATGCCATGGAAGTTGTACAAATGTGGTTCGGTCAGGGTAAAAGATCTAGGAGGCCCAACTACAAGAGCTCCTTGTGGCCCAAAGGGGGATGTGCTCTAAGGCAGAGTAAGGAGAGGCAAGAAGGAGAGAAGTTTACTGCTTATTGCTGATGCTCTGACCGCTTACCTCATGTTTACATTTAATGTTTTTATATTTGTTTAGTTGTATTTTTTTTGTACTGATCACTTAATTTATTTGCATCTATGGATATACATGTGTTAAGCTGTGGTTTTTGTACTGTAATGACAGAACTTCTGCTGTAATGCTTTATTATCAAAGCATTTGTCAGTAATACAGTTAAAATGGGTGAAAATGTGAATTGCTGCAGGTTGATTTAAAGTGTGCCCCTAAAACAATCCTTACAGACTGACTAATACATAGATAGACACAACAGTAGCCGTAGTGAAGTCATTTTATTTGTGATTTGCCAGTTACATCAATTATATAAAATCACAGCAAGTTGGACGTTTATTTATCTAAAATGCCACTTCCAATGTATTAAACTGAGTCAAATATGGGAACTATGTCTCTGTACAATATAAACTACTTTCACATAGATACCCATTTCCTGGTGCCATTTTAAAAAGCTCTTTAAAACTCTTTCCACAGAAAGAACACAAATAGGATCTCACATCTGGGTCAATATCACTGTAGGGTGCCTTTTGGTGTCCTGTACATAACACATTTGCCATGATAACTTAACATAAAAATGACTATGAAAGGGTGTGTTATATTAGGCAAAGTTTTTATATTCATAACAAAAAGGATGCTTTTTATTTTGCTATGTCCCATGCACAGCTCATTAAATTTTAATGAGAGTAGAATATAGTCAAATCATAAAATTAAAAAATTGTGTTCTCTATTAATATTTTGTTAATTTTTTGTTAAACTCAATTTGAGTGTATTGATCATTTGGTAATAAAAACAATATTTTTATTTAATAAAAAAAAAAAGAAGAGTTTGTCCATGTCCCTTGAATAGTTGTCCACCCTGTCGTATTGGGGAATCTGCCCCTTTAAAGGGGTCATATGATGCGATTTAAATTTTTCCTTTCTCTTTGGAGTGTTACAAGCTCTTGGTGCATAAAGAAGATCTGTAAAGTTGCAAAGACTAAAGTCTCAAATCCAAAGAGATATTCTTTATAAAAGTTATGAGTCAGCCACACCTACCTAAAACAGCTTGTTCTAACACGCCCCCACATATCTGCCTCACTCTGTGGGACAATTTGCATAACGCCGCCCAAATGTTCACACAAAGAAAGAAGGCGTAACTTTTATTCTCGCTGTAGTATTGTTGTTGCCGCCGCCATGTCGTAAAGACACTGTGTGCTTCGTTGTGAAAGCGAAACTACTTTGTTTGGTCTTCCAAAAGAGGACGATATCTGCTTCGTCATGCCTGGAGCTGATCCGTGCTGGTTGCTGAGGAAATACATCAACTTTGCGCTGTCGATCGCCGAATCGGCTTTCACTGTGGACGAAGCAAAGTCCAGCCCGGAGTCATCACATGTCCTTCCGGACACTCCTTCTTCGAAATCGCCAGCCGCGCCGTTCTCAAGCCCGCCTTTGCTCACTCTAACCCTCCGGCTGTTCCTCACGCTGGCCCCCGGCCTCTGCTCACTGTAGGCTGCTGTGTGTGACGCTGTTTTGTTGTAAAAAGCGAAACTACTTTGTTTGGCCTTCCAAAAATGGACACGACTAGAAATCAGTGGTTAAGTTGTATTTACAACACTGTTCCAAGAACACTTCAACCCAAATATTCAGATGTGTGCAGCACATTTTATGGAGAACCGTTTCCTGATCCTGGGAGAGTAGACTACAATGCCGGCTGTTCTGACTCACAGACTGCAAGTACGTTTTTTATATTTAAAGAGTTTTTATATTTTATATATTTAAAGTGAGTTTTTTGGGCAGTGTAGTGTAGGCTTGTTGTTTGTCATTTCTCCGATCACAAATGCAGACATGGTTTTATGTTTATGCGGTGCGATGCAATGCGTAAAAAGACAGTATAAGTCATTATAATCCATAATTATGTCCCCACTGGATGCAACGAATGCCTCGTTTATAATGGGTTTTCATGTTTTTGAATCATCGCTCTGGCCGGACAGGGCATCATCACAGTATGTGAGGGGCGTAACATTTTCGTCACACGCTTGAGGTATTCAGCCAATCACAACGCACTGGATAGCTGGCCAATCAGGGCACACCTCGCTTTTTCACACCTCACGTTGATATTGTCACCAAATACACAAAATACTGTTCTTTTTAGCAGCATCATATGACCCCCTTTAAGAAAAGGGCATCCACTTTAGTGACATCAGGACAACAAATTTTTTTGTCTCTTCAGTGGCGGGAATTTCAACAGCTGAGGTGAGTAAGTCAGTTACTTTGCAATTGACAAATTTTCTTCGTATGAGTTTGCTTATTTGCTTTGCCATAGCTTAAAATGTCCACCCTGATATCAACGTGATTGAGAAAGTAATTTTATTATTTTTTCTAAGCTAAATGTTTCATTGTCATTTTTGTCATGCTTTGTGTGTTCTGCTTTATGTGTCCACGTCATGTGCTGGTCCACCCTGTGATCTTGATATTTTACAATAATATTTTAAATAATAATTCAATCATATCTATATAATCCAGTGTGTTCAATCGCTAGGTGTTGGGGCAATAACATGCAAACAAAAAACTGCATCCAAATATCACAGTTTTCTCCAAAAAAAAATTAAAAATACATGTGCGAATTTTATGAGCTTCTTTAAAAGCACATGGTTTACATCAAATCTTTTATGTATTTATAATTTTAAGGCAAACAAATAACCCTGTTTAAGAAAGGGACATCATACCTTTCAGAAAGTATAATTTGCATCTTAATATTGCAATGAAAATGTATTTAACAGTAATATATGTGACCATGGGGTGGACATATCTTATGGTTTATGCTTCAAATAATGGCCCATAATTATCAAAAAAATTGTGTGGGAGCTCAGCTAATATGTTTCTATAGTACTTGAGTGTCTACTATTTATGACATGACAAAGTGAATGGGAAATTAAAACCAAAATGTTTGAGTATTGTGAGGGTTGAAAGGTGCAGTCAATGCGCATATGATTTTTAAAATTGCTCTATTTTGTAAACCTCTTGCCACACCGGGCGACACTGCGATTTCTTCCCAGAATGGATTTGCAAATGCCGTTTCAGGTCTCTTTGATATGTGAAAGTCTTTTTACAATGTTGGCACGTGAATGGCTTTTCTCCAGTGTGTAGTCTCATGTGAATGTTAAGGTTTCCTTTTTGAGTGAAACATATTCCACACTGTTGGCAGGTGTATGGGCTCTCTCCAGTGTGAATCCTCATGTGGACATTAAGGTTTCCCAGTTGATCGAAACTCCTTCCACACTGAGAGCACGTGTAAGGCTTCTCTCCAGTGTGAATTCTCATGTGGGCATTAAGAGTTGGTCGATGTGTAAAACTCCTTCCGCACTGAGAGCATGTGTAAGGCTTCACTCCAGTATGAATTCTCACGTGGCTTTCAAGGCTTCCTCTTCGAGTGAAACTTTTTCCACAGTGTTTGCAGATGAAAGGCTTCTCTCCCGTGTGAACTCTCATGTGGTACCTAAGGTTTTCTTTTCTGCTGTAACATTTTCCACACTGTTGGCAGGTGAATGCGCTATCACTAGTGTGAATTCTCATGTGGACTGTAAAGGCTCTTTTTTGGTCAAAACTCTTTCCACACTGTTGGCAGGTGAAGGGCTTCTCTCCCGTGTGAATTCTCATGTGGATTTTAAGGTGTCCATGTTGACTGAAACTTTTTCCACATTGTTTGCAGGTGAAACGACTTCTAGATCCTGTCTTTTGAGCTCTCTTTTTTGAGGAAGCCTTTTTTTTAGTCTGCGAGCGATTATACTTTTCGGTTACAAAATCATGATGTTTCTCATACTGATCTTTCTCTTCGGTTTCATCCAGTTCTTGACCCTCCTCTTTCAGTGCAATCAGGTCTGAGGGGAAAAAATAAAGGGTTAGTTCACCCAAAAATGAAAATTAGGCTGTTTTTTACTCACCCCCGAGGCATCCTAGGTGTATATGACTTTCTTCTTTCAGACGAATCCAGTCGGAGTTATATTAAAAATTGTCTTTGATCTTTCAAGCTGTTTCATGGCACTCAGTGGGTGTTGCATGCATCCGTCCTAAAGATGCCGTTTCAGGTCTCTTTGATATGTGAAAGTCTTTTTACAATGTTGGCACGTGAATGGCTTTTCTCCAGTGTGTAGTCTCATGTGAATGTTAAGGTTTCCTTTTTGAGTGAAACATATTCCACACTGTTGGCAGGTGTATGGGCTCTCTCCAGTGTGAATCCTCATGTGGACTTCAAGGTTTCCTTTTCGACTGAAACTTTTTTCACACTGCTGGCAGGAAAAAGGGTTCTCTCCGGTGTGAATCCTCATGTGGACATTAAGGTTTCCCAGTTGATCGAAACTCCTTCCACACTGAGAGCACGTGTAAGGCTTCTCTCCAGTGTGAATTCTCATGTGGGCATTAAGAGTTGGTCGATGTGTAAAACTCCTTCCGCACTGAGAGCATGTGTAAGGCTTCACTCCAGTATGAATTCTCACGTGGCTTTCAAGGCTTCCTCTTCGAGTGAAACTTTTTCCACAGTGTTTGCAGATGAAAGGCTTCTCTCCCGTGTGAACTCTCATGTGGTACCTAAGGTTTTCTTTTCTGCTGTAACATTTTCCACACTGTTGGCAGGTGAATGCGCTATCACTAGTGTGAATTCTCATGTGGACTGTAAAGGCTCTTTTTTGGTCAAAACTCTTTCCACACTGTTGGCAGGTGAAGGGCTTCTCTCCCGTGTGAATTCTCATGTGGATTTTAAGGTGTCCATGTTGACTGAAACTTTTTCCACATTGTTTGCAGGTGAAACGACTTCTAGATCCTGTCTTTTGAGCTCTCTTTTTTGAGGAAGCCTTTTTTTTAGTCTGCGAGCGATTATACTTTTCGGTTACAAAATCATGATGTTTCTCATACTGATCTTTCTCTTCGGTTTCATCCAGTTCTTGACCCTCCTCTTTCAGTGCAATCAGGTCTGAGGGGAAAAAATAAAGGGTTAGTTCACCCAAAAATGAAAATTAGGCTGTTTTTTACTCACCCCCGAGGCATCCTAGGTGTATATGACTTTCTTCTTTCAGACGAATCCAGTCGGAGTTATATTAAAAATTGTCTTTGATCTTTCAAGCTGTTTCATGGCACTCAGTGGGTGTTGCATGCATCCGTCCTAAAGCAGTTAAATAAAAAGCGCCCATCCATAAAAAAACTCATCGATTCGCTACAGAAGGCCTTTGTTCATCCCCCGGAGCCGTGTGAGACACTTTTTTTAAAGAAATATATCCATATTCAAAAGGTAATAATCACTTTAATGTAGCTTGCGCCAGCAGTTGTACACAGAAGCAGCTCCGGGCAGATGACGTATGAGGGCAGGGCTGCGCCGGGGAGGCTTGTGAAAAAGACACTTTTTTTAAAGAAATATATCCATATTCAAAAGGTAATAATCACTTTAATGTAGCTTGCGCCAGCAGTTGTACACAGAAGCAGCTCCGGGCAGATGACGTATGAGGTCAGCGCTGCGCCGGTGAGTCTCGTGAAAACCAACGTTTATTAACAGGATAAAAGGAAGCAAAGTTTCCTTACTTTAGCAAAGGAAAGCCAGTCTCCTCTTGGCTTATTTCGAAATCCTCCAACATTCTTCTTTACAAATCCTCGTTTTGTACTTCTAATTCTTGACCGTTGTTTTGTTTTGATCTCTTTGCTGCGTTTCCACGTGCGTCACTTCTGAGCGGCGCATGCGCAAAAGCCGACCTCATACGTCATCTGCACGGAACTGCTTCGGTTTACAACAGTGAGCTCAAGCTAGATTGAAGTGATTATTACGTTTTAAATATAGATATTTTTCTAACAAAAACGCATCGATTTGCTACAGAAGGCCTTTGTTAACTCCCCGGAGCTGTGTGAGACACTTTTTTTTATGGATGGGCGATTTTTATTTAAGTTCTTTTGGACAGAAGCAATGCAACACCCGCTGAGTGGCATTAAACGGCTTGAAAGATCAAAGACAATTTTTAATAAAACTCCGACTGGATTCGTCTGAAAGAAGAAAGTCATATACACCTAGGATGCCTCGGGGGAACTAACCCTTTAACTCCAGTTTAATACCACAAAATAACACATAAAAACATTTAGACACATAAAGCATCAACACAAACATGTATTTAGCACACTTCCCAAAAACATCTTTGCACTTTGAGATGCTGCGAGAGTAGATGACAATATGGGAACTATGCCAGCTTGACTAATTGTCTGAAGCCTGCACTCTAAAAAATGCTGGGTTGTTTTTTAAACCCAAATGCTGGATTGAGCTTGCTGGGTAAGGACGCTGGGTTGGTTTAACCCAATTTTGGGTTGAAAATTGGTCTTGATCTATAACCCAGCGGTGCTGACGTGAAAGTGCGAGAAGCTGCCATTTTCTCAGCGTCTTCAGATGGAAGTGAGTGAAAGACGTTTATGGTAAGTAAAGATTAAACATGTAAATTCATCATTCATTGTTTGTGTCTGGGAGTATTTTGAGATTTCATGGAACGCGGAAATAGTCCGAAAAGAGCATATATTGACAAATACACGGACACGGTCTCTTTTACTGAACGGAAGAGATACTTTTAATATAATGTCAGTGAGTGTCTTCTGTCATATTTACATAAGATTTTACACTTTGTGAGGTATTAACAGATTTACATGTTAATTCTTTATCATCTTTTTCGCGGTTAAACTGAATGTATGTTAGTTTCCTAAAAGAAACGGCGTTATGTATAGTCTAGCCTAATTATTTTGATGCTGATGAAGTGTTAATTGTTAAAAGTAATGTTTTGCATGTAATATTTCAGACTTGTTGAGCTTTGTGTCTTCATTGTGCCCGCGCCGGGAGTTAACGACACAGAAGCCAGCTTGTATGAGGAGGAGGTGATTTTCTCAGCTTCTTCAGAAGAGAGGGAAAGACGGTTAAGGCAAGAAAAGTTCATAATTTCATGTTATCAATTTTTATTTAATTTAATTTTTATTGTTTATTTTATTTGCTTGCCAAAGCCCTTTAAATGAAGAACAAATGTAGACAGCATGCAGTAATTCTATCAAGCTGTGTCAGCAGGCAAAATGTTTTATTATTTATTTACAATGGTGTTTTTGACACTATTTATTAATTGATTCCATTAATATTTAAGTAAAAAAGGCGTAATAATGGAACAACAGTTTATTTTTCACTATTATTTACAACAGGATCTGCCTTTTAATGTGAACATCGAATGCTGGTGTGTTTTGGCGTTTATGTGATCAGTGTTAAGTATAATTGTAATTATAGGTTTTATACTCATTTAGCTACAGGCACACTAACAATGGTTAGGCCTATGTGTTTGGCCACTGTGTAATATGCTTGTAGTTCTGGCGACAGATATGAGGCTACACAAGACGAAAGTAACAGTGCTATTAAAGCGTGTATGAAGCTTTGTCTCTGTGGTCTTCTGATTATTAACCATTAATTCAGTTTACATGTCAAATGTATATTTAGCTATTATTATTTAATTGCTTACACATGCTCATTATTATTTACAGACAGCACCTCAGCAGGGTCCCAGTTCTCCAGAGTTTCCCTCCACATCTACACTTCTTGAAGTTGGATGTCAGGTAGACCCTACATTTTTAGGTATTTTAGGTATTCAGGCAACAGTGTCTTGTCATGATATTGGCTTTGAAACAACTGTTATGTTGCCGGATGTCTTCAACACCATTAAAGGGCTCAATCTTTAGGCCAAGCAAGCGACCTCGTCTTTTGTTAGAGGAGGAGGAAGACACAGAATCAGAATTAGATGTACTCCATCTGGACATGACTCCACATATACCCCCGAGTCTGTGGTCACTGAGGAATCTCAATTGTCGAAAGTTATGAATACATATTGACAACTTTGTAGTAAAGAATACGAGTTGAAAGAAACAAATGCAATTTCCTAATATTTATTATTTTTTGGTTAATTTAGAATAGATTCACAATCCAGCTACACCGACAACAAATACATTGTATTTGAAAGCTGCCTTAAAGAGTTGTTTGGTTCGTGGGCAGTTTGTAAGACGAAGTGTGCCGACGAATAGCAGACGAATGGGGACTTCTATTGCATTCACGCAGCAATGTGAAAAGTGTAACTTCCACCGACAGTGGCAGAGCCGCCCATTTTAGGGAGTACCCCAGCAGGAAACCTGTTGTCTGCAGCTACATATTTTACGGGTGGATCATTTTTTCAAATACAGAAGGTATTTAAAACCTTGTTCAAGAAAATGTTACACTACATTTAAATGTGTATATATATTAGGGGTGTAACGGTACACAGAAGTCACGGTTCGGTATGTACCTCGGTTTTGGGGTCACGGTTCGATACGGATTCGGTACAATAGGAATAAGCAACAAATCTCCAGCGCTTGCTTTTTTCTGTTTATTTTGAACAGGCAGTAGTGTTTGGTCACAATCAGCTACAGAACTGAAAAGCTTCTTGTGATATGAAAGTACAAAATAAATAGAATAATGAAAAATAAATCTTTTTAATTAGGAGACTATATATATTAAACTTTCAAAGGGTAAGCCCATCCCTCTCCTAAAACAACAGAAAAACATTAAATGTGCATTAAATTTAAGTTTCAATAAACTTCAAAACCGAAATCTCTTTTAATGAAAATGCTACAAAATAAATAAGGCATCAAAATAAAAGGCTTCAGATTTGTTTTATTTTCAAGTATTCTTCAAAAATATCAGTTTGTCCACATTTTCAGTAGTGATTGAAGATCTTGTGGCGGTAACAGTCACCTGCCGCTGAGAAAACCCTCTCGCTTGGGACTGACGTTGCAGGTATTGCCAGGTAATGCTTTGCCAGCTTGGCTAGTTTAGGATAAACAGACTCTTGAGCCTTCCACCAGGCAAGCGGGTTGGAATCAATTGAAATGCGCTCCATGTAGTTAATGCGCTCCATGCGTACACTTCATCCTTCAACTGCTGCTGCAAATCAGGCTGGTACTTTTTTACAGTTTTGAAGAGCCATGGCTGACCTCTTTGGTGGAGGGGAAGGTGCTGCCTCTGACTCTGCGTTCACTGCCGATGGACTGGCCACTGTAGTCTCTCTGGTCTCACCCTGCAGTAAAATGACAGAAAAGGCTCATTAGTGAGTTCAGTGAACATTGTAACAACATTAATCTATTGTAATGAAAGAAAATATAAAGATAGTAAATTATACATACCTGTTGTGCTGTGCTCACAACTTCTGTGATGAGGATATCTTCATAGATTCTCTGTTGATGGGCTGGGTCAAGATGATGAAGTGTCTTGAAACACGGATCAAGTGCAGTGCACTTGTGAAGGAGATGCTCAAGACCAGGGTCAGCAGAAATACCTCGTTTGCAGATTTTCACTGATGGCTTGCTTGATTTCCCTGGCAGTGGGAGTATCACCATCATTTTATTTCGTGGATTCCAAGATCGTTTTTTTTAACGGTAACATCATGGAAACTGATGGTGTTGTTTCAGTGCTCAGTATTGTTGTGACCATCTTCAGAGGCTTCATAATCTCAATCACACTCTCTGCGATGCTCAGCTCATGGTCAGTCAGATTGGCAATATTCTTATTTTTATGGGCTCTTTCTGTTAGAGCGGAGTAAATAGCAGATTTCTGTTCCAGATACCGCTCAACCATCTCATAGCTGGAGATCCAGCATGTGGGCACGGCCTATATTAAACAATGTTTTGGCAAGTTAAGCATCGTCTGCTTTGTCTCCAATATACAGTGGGACAAATAAGTATTTAGTCAGCCACCAATTGTGCAAGTTCTCCCACTTAAAAAGATGAGAGAGGGGCAGCCACTGAGCTGCGGTGGAAAAAGCCAACAATTTTTCTGATTTTTCCCATCAGTCAAGATACCTGGCTGACAGCCATTCCTTTCTGTGATGCCGAGTTCAATGAATGGGCAAAGCATCCAATATGTGGACCCAATCCTGCATCACTGACAGCATTAACAATGTTTCTT